CCAGACGAGAATCGAATACGGACAGCCGATGAACGAGATTACGCGCGGGGAAAAAAAAGTACGTTTTCCCTAATGGGACTGCGTTGTTCACGTGCACGAGGACAGTAAAGGTTTATTGCCACGACCGGATCAAACCCATACGCAAACGAACCAGCCGCACGATGCAATTTATCGGCGAACCTTTATTGACGTCGCGCATGAAAACGCGGCCCGCGTGTTTAGAGACACCCGCACGGCGACAGGGCATCGGCCGCGGAATCGCATCGACGTTAAACCAACCCGGCCCTAGTAACTCATATCCTCTGAACACCATGCTGGCTCTGCGTTTACCACTTGGCTATAGATTCGACCAAAGAGTGTTCCGCGAATTTCTCGAAATTCGGTTCAGCTCTCGCCTTGACACGTTCGCTGCTCTCTGAATCCACTTTTCCTTTCGTACAGCGAGTACATGTTAATAAAAATTGTCATACGTATCTTTATTTATTACACGCGTTTAATAGGAATTAGCATGAAATACTTTTCCATGATTTCGGGATTTTCAGTTCACGTGTCACTTCGAATCGTTAGGATACGCAACAATGAAGGTATAGACCGATTGGAACGTGCTTCGTACGCAGCGAACGTGTTAAAATGAAAAGCGAAACTACGATAAATACGTTAGGAAACGAAACTTTTCGTCTAAATTTCCATATTTTCGAACGCTTAAGTATTTAGATTACGTTATGTTTGTAAAAAAAAAAAAATGTTCTGGGTTGTCAATTTCTTCGAATATTCTTCCCTTTAATTCTCGAATCGTTCGGATCGTTGAATTTTGAAACCGTAACTTTCTGAATTTGAGAATTCGTGGCGATTACAGGCCGATGGCCGCGTACGGGTGTGCGTGTAAATAGATTACGAACGACTCGATTGTAAATAAAGGTAAAATACACGTACGAGTTTTAACTAATTCTAGATGATGATCTAAGTTAAACGAGTAACTATGTAGAGGATTAGACGTTATTAATTACGATATAAAATCATATCCATGAGCGCGCTGGTATTAAGGAAGGAAAGGTCGACGTTTAAGAGCAGGCGTTATTCTCGCGCTTTAACGATACTTGTCTTATATTTCAACTTTAATCTCCGCGATATGAAATTGACGATTACGTTTATGAAAAATATTCAAATGTTAAGAGTGGTTGACAGAGACAGCTATATTCGTTTGATTGTATTCTCGCGGATACGTGCTTGTATTTCTTTGATTCCGTCTGCAATATATCATTGTAAGTATCGTCAGGGAATAATTAATTAGAAATGAAACGAAAGAACGCTTGTTATCCCCTCGATTAACACCAGTCTCCGTTGAGACACCATGAACGAGAGAACAAACGAATGAACGATGTAACGAGTATAAGCGACTTCCGGTAGGCGCGCATCGAATCGACAAAAATTTGCGCGGTTCTATGTACATAAGTAAGCGTAAGTGTTGCCGAAGCGATAATGGCAAGAACCGAGAAACTGCACAAGCGATTAAGTTTAATAATGATTTCTCGATAAACTGTTGTACGTAAAAAGAAACGAAAGCGTGATATAAATGAACGAACGACCGGTAAAACAGAAGGAAGAAAAACCGGAAAGTGAGAAAGCGTGACGCAAATAGGAAGTTTGTAAAACTCCGCGAACTGACTTGTACAGCGTTTATCTCAGGCCTGTCCACGTATAGGATTCCCAAATCGTTTATTCTTCGTCATAGTCTCGTGATCTTCTCGAAAAATAGTATAGCGTAAAAGTAATCATATCGTGTAGTGTCGATACTTTAGAGGATAAATTTACAGTACAAAATAAGAGAAAAAAGAATTGGAAGCTATAGCTCTCTAGCAAGATTCAAGATCCTAGTTCCGCATCTACGTTTCTGCTTAGTATGTGAAACTTAGTTCCTTAATTAGAAATGGTATCGTTTTCTCATTTTGTGCTCTAACTTTGTTCGTCGAAGAATCGACATATAATTAACCGATCGAGTTATCGAGCACTTTCACATGCTACGATAATTATATGGATACAGAGTGCGGGAAATGATTTGGACACTATAGTGTATCCTGTGAACAGGCCTGGTTTATCTAGTAGCACAGAAGTTGTACGAGTTCCCGAACTCTTCCCGAAGACTGCCGAAAACGCTTATTGTTTGAAACGCTTCGGCGCCCCGCAATAATCATCGCTTCGAGCGATGAAAATTACCGAGTAAGCATTAAGTATCGCTTTCTCTGTCGTTTTCATGCAGAGTCATACACGATCATTTATAGCAGTTGGTAAATCGTTCGCGTAACTCTCTTTTTTAAGATATTCGATATCCTCCTTTCCTCGTCTTACTTTTTCCTATGTTATAAGTAACAGATTTTGTAATGTAGAATAATTCTACGTTGAGCGAATCTGTTATGAAACAGGATGTTACCGACTGTCGGTATATCGATATTTGAGTTTAAAATTCCCTTCGAAAGATTCGTTCGCATCGCGATAGATATGTATGTATTTATATACTTACATTCAAAGTTCTTTTTTTCTATGCACGATGGTTCTTTTCTTTCTATTCGCTCGACAGTTTGCACCCAAATTGTTCGAAAGCTTAACATAGAAGTTAAACGATTCGCTAATTTTTTTTAACACATCGCCCACGGCACGAATATACAAAATTATGCAACAAGGAATATACACTCAATACCTCGAGACAGCGAAACTCTCGATTTCTGACACTATTACTGCAAGAAAATAATCATAAACACAAACGGAAGAATGCATTACGATGTAAGAATAAATTATCCAATTTACGGTGAGCGTGGAATCAAGAACAGGCCCGACAATAACATATGTGCACATGCGCTCGTGCACCGTACATGTTTACGAAGATGTACTACTACCTAAAAATGTTTATAGATGCGTCTATCAGGCCGATCACATGTATTGAACGTGAAGTAAAACGAAAGAGTACTTACATTACCCACTTAACGAGATACTTTCGACATACGAATGAATTCAATGCATTAATGAACTTTAATCCAAATTGTGAAACATTACTGTGACGTTTAAAATGAGAAACTTTAACTGCTATTACTGTTCATAACGTAAACGTGATAATTGATTGATTAACACTAATAAGATCGTATCGTTTGGTCTGAAAGACACTTCTATGGAATGGTTAATGAGAACGAAAGAGGATCGATCACCGTCAGACGTAAAAAATTTCAACAGAACCTCCGGAAACATGCTCACACGACATGCATATAGTTACTAATTATACCATTATTGATTACCGATTCGAATATCGAGTATGCGACATTTTTAATAAATTATTTTGAAGATTGCTTGACTTGTTTATCCTTACCTTATCCCATCTTGTTACCTCAAATCGTAGAGATATTCAATGATGCAAATATAAATCTTGAACACGATTGATTTTAACCTTGATTTAATAACTTCTGGATAACGGATATTTTGCTGCACTTCCAGCTTCTTAAAATTATTGCTTTCGATACTATAAAGACTGAATGCACATGAGCGATATTTTACCGTGCGATCCCGATACGACCATGTCTTTCACTGTTTTCCTATTACAACGAAATGGACATATGATTGTACTCGATCACAACGATATCGTACGATAAAATATCGCTCGTGGAATTCCCGCGTAAATTGACCGCCAAAAATTATATCGATAATAATCGAATATCGCGATATTTAATTACACATTCTACCGTCTTACTAGCGTTGTACGTGCCAGTTCTATACTGAATCGATAACGTACCATATGACTTAATGATAAGTAAGGAAACACGGAAGAACTCCCTCTACGTCTAAGGCAGGGACTACCGGGCGTAGCCTTACTGACGAGTCCACCGGTAGTCCCGGGACGAAACGCAAACTCTCCTCTTTTCATCCGCCACAAACGATTAACAGATACGATTAACAAATAACTGGTAACAATTAACAAGTAACAACAGACGCCGAGAGATCATTCGACGCATTCGATACGCAATGGTACTGAGGAGTTATACATTTAACGGCGTAAGACAGACTGACTGCCCTTCTGTTCCGGATCGAAAGGATTCTTCCCTTCGTTGCCCTTCGATATCTCCCCCACTAGCGTGCATTCGGTAGATGTGCCGCCGCGGCTGGCACGTGTATGCTCTTTCGAGAAATCGTCGGAAAAATTGCGAAGATATCGATGGTACAGCTCCAACTACACGTCCGCCACATTTTGATAGTGTGTCATGCTTTCTGAAGTATTGTGAAAACATAAAATTCTATACTACGTTCTGATTATAGGATATCCTGTTCTATATTTTATTTAATTTCATATAAAACTTTAGTTTTTATTCAAATCAGTACTATACTGAATCGATATCGTCACATGTGACACGAAACTGATAAGAAGCTTTTCCCAAATCGGTATTTTAGAACGTAAGGCAAGAAAACTCATATAGTGCCAGATCTATCTTATTCTTAGTCAATGATGAAAGTAAAATTAATGTTACTGTTGTTATAATATCGCTATAGTCAGTCTGCTATAGTATAAATATGTATATTAACGTTATCGTTACCTGAAGAAAAGTAATCCCATAGAAAGTTTATATGCAATATTTCTATATCTCGTTTATGACATTATATATCACTTTCTTAAATAATATAAGTGAAATTACAATGTCATTTTCCTGAAATAAATATGTAAAATATAGATTAAATGTTAATTCTTTTTACAAATAAAACAGTACCGGCAAAACTAGTTTCGAAAGTAAAAAATCAACATTCCCTTTCACTACAAAACATTGCAAGATTTTCACCAGTAATCGCTGCAAACTATTTAGTATACTTTCACCAACAACAGGTTCACTGTGTTTTTTCATTATCACATTATTTATAAAAACTGATAGATATCATAATTTCGAATTATAATTACGTAAAATACAGTATATATATATATTATATTACATTATGTTATGTTAAGTACTACAAATAACAATTTATATATTGTTATGTATATAAATGATCAAATATTTTACTATAAAATAATTAAATATATAAACGATTTTATACTTAAAACATGTTTCATTGGAAGAAAGTCTTAGGAATTAATTTACATGGATCTTTGAGACAATTACATGCTTCAAAAATTTTGTAAGTAATACATATTCAATTTTTAAAGATTTAAAAAGTTATAATATAATATAATATAATTTTCTAATTGACTCGATATGAGGTACATAACATATATTTTTTTTAGACAAAAAGCTGTTATAATAAATGGTAAAGAAATAGCCGATGAGATTCAAAATGAATTAAAAGCAACTATTCAGGATTGGATAAATGATAATAGAAAGAGACCTAAACTCGTAGCCATAAAGGTTGGAAATGATCCAGCTAGTAAAGTATATGTTGAAAGAAAGATGAAAGCTGCAAACTTCATTGGTAAAATAACGCTAATGTTTAAACAACTTCAATAGATGTAATTGATACATTGAATACATGTCTAACATATTTATTTTATTGATAACTCAGGAATTGAAAATTATGTTATTCATTTAAAAGAAAATAATTCGCAGCAAGATCTTATTAAAGAAATTGATTATTTAAATAAAGATGAAAATGTAGATGGGATTATCGTGCAATTGCCATTACCAAAACACATGAATGAACATGAAATATGTCAAGCAATTATACCAAATAAAGATGTTGATGGTTTCCATTTAGAGAATTTGGGTAATTTAGCATTAAATAACAGTAGGTTTATTCCGGCAACTGCTTTGGCTGTAAAAGAATTAATAATTAGGAGCAATATTGAAACTTTTGGAAAAAATGCAGTGGTAGTGGGAAGGTCTAAACATGTTGGGTTACCAATTGCATTACTTTTACATGCTGACAGCAAAGGTATAAAACGTAAATATAATAATAAAATGTAAAATAGCAAATTCAATGAAATTTTATATATATATAGAATGTAACATTACGAAAAAGTCAATGAAATCATAATAGCAAATTAATTCACAGATGAAATAGGTGCATTAGATATGACTACAACAATATGTCATCGCCATACTCCTCATACTGAATTAGAAAAATTTACAAAATTGGCAGATTTGGTAGTCGTTGCAGCTGGTATTCCTGGCTTAATTACTAAGGAAATGATAAAGCCAGGGGCATGTGTAATTGATGTAGGGATTACAAGAATAAAGATGGACAATAAATACAAATTAGTAGGAGATGTAGATTTTGAAAATGTTCAGGCAATTGCTGGGCATATAACTCCAGTACCAGGAGGTGTAGGTCCTATGACTGTAGTAATGTTAATGAAAAATACTATTTTAGCAGCTAAAAGAAATTATAACAACTCAAAATCATCTGTACTTTAAAATATTAATGTTTAAGAATATGGACCATACATAATTCACAGCACAGTATTGATATATATATATATATAAAATATTATGTTTTCCTGTGGAAATAAAATGGAAATAATAAAACTTTCTATTTTTTATTATGTTTACTCATTACATCAGAAAATGTCTTTTATTACTCACATATAAAAACTTGATATCATGTTATCAAACAATTCCCAATGCATGTTATTACTTTTGATATACGAAATAAAAGCAAAAAGGTATACAAAATAAATTGGGAATTATATATAATAATAAAATAATAAAAGTATTATTTTTAATAAAGAAGGCAGTTCTAACATTTTCGAACCACTAAAGGATATTGAAATTATAATTAACATACATATGGATTTATATAGTAATCTGTTTGAACTTTAAAACCATAAAAAAAAATTAAAATATTTAATTAATGATAAGTAAAGGTTATATTTTCCCATATTTGATGTTTCTGTTCAGCCGAGACTGAACAAATATATAAGATAATAACAACCATCTATTTAATAAAAAATGTCTTTATCTAACTTCACTTTCTACACGAAATCAAATCAAAGGTCGCTACTTTTAATTGCTTTCAAACTTTTAAGACGTAACAATCAAAAATTTGTCACATCTAGTCCAGTTAAGATGAGTCGACCAAAAGTTTTGATCACCCGCCCGGACATTCCAGCTGCCGGGTTAAATTTACTTAAAGAACAGTGAGTATATTTTTAATATTTAAAGAACACTTAAAATATACTTCATTCACTTAAATCATGTAAAACTCATTACCCAATTTTTCATAACTTATTCTATGAAGTTGCGTTTACGTAAACATACATATGTATAATGTTATACTTTAACATCTCAAACATTTCGTGCCAATATTATATTTTTGTCTTTGATTTATACGTGCTTGCAATGAAAAAACTGTTTATTAATATTTCTATTTCTTTTTATTTTATATTTTAGGTGTGATGTTGTTCTATGGGAAAAACCTGAGCCAATTCCTAAATCTGTATTATTATCAAAAATACAAAATATGGATGGAGTTTATTGTTTATTGACAGACAAAATAGATGAAGAAGTTTTAAATGCCGCCGGACCACAATTAAAAGTTGTGGCTTCTATGTCAGTTGGTGTTGACCACTTAGATTTGCAAGCTTTGAAGAAGAGAAATATTAAAGTTGGTTATACTCCTGGTATTCTAACAGATGCGACAGCTGAATTGGCTGTAGCATTATTACTAGCTACGTCCAGAAGATTAATAGAAGCAAACAGAGCCATTTACAAGTATAAAACAGAACATATTTTTTTATTTATTAAATTGTGTAATTAAACATACATTTTATTTCAAATATAATTTATATAGGGGTGAATGGAAAGCATGGTCACCAACTTGGATGTGTGGACCAGGATTATCTGGATCAACTGTTGGAATAGTAGGATTAGGTCGTATTGGTATTCAAGTAGCAAGATGTCTTAACAGCTTTAACACTGCTAAAATATTGTATACAAGTAGGAGTATTAAGCAGGAAGCATCCGAATTTGGAGGAGAAAAAGTAGAACTTGATATGTTATTGGAAGAAAGTGATTTTGTAATTGTAACAACAGCTTTAACTCCAGATACAAGACAAATGTTTAACAAAAATACATTTAAAAAAATGAAAAGATCTGCTATATTTATAAATGTCAGTAGAGGAGAGGTTGTTGATCAATCTGCTCTGATAGAAGCTTTAAAAAGTGGAATAATCAGAGCTGCTGGTTTAGATGTTATGACTCCTGAACCTATTCCATTAGATAGTGAACTTTTAAAGTTAAATAACTGTGGTAAGTTAACTAAGATCTATCTGTAGTAAAATATATAATAAAAATAATGATTTACTTATGTTTCAGTTGCATTACCTCATATTGGTAGTGCTGCTACAGAAACGCGAGAAGAAATGTCAATAATTACTGCTAAAAATATTATAGCAGTCTTGAAAGGAACTCCAACTGAAATGCCTGCTCCACTTCAATTATAAATATAACTTAAATTAAATATCACAAATAAATTACTAAAGCAAAAATAAATTTGTGAGGAGAGACTAAATCAGCTTTAAGCTTAGATTGTTATTTACCATTATAACTTGATTCTTTATATAAGTATGATTATATGTTTATACATACATATTATACACTTAACATATATGTATAAATTATTTTGTACATATGACAGTATGGAGAGAATATTATATACCTTTTAATATTAAAACTAGCATTATAATAACTTCACTTTTCTGAAATATACCTCAAGGCTTTTAACAATATTAAGCTTTGCTCATATATCGTAAAATGCAATGCCGTTGTCATACTAGCTTTCAATTGAGATGGTACTAAACCTTTAAATAGTCCTTTTACTCCTTCCTTTCTTATAGTTAATTTTAAGCAATCTATAAGTCCTTTACATTCAAAAAAAGTACCAAAACCTTTTCTACCATTTTTGAATCCTTGTATTTGTAACCTTTTCCTACTAAGATCAAACGGATATACTGCAGTTTTAGCTAATAGACCAGCTGTACTACCAGATATTAGAGAATTGAAAAAACTAGTATCAGTTTCATTGTAATATTTCTTATACATATCACTGAACAATGCATAAAATGCAAATTGCAAACCTGTATGTGGCACAATTTGCAATACAGTCGGTAATAATCCATAAAAAAAAGCCTTTGGAGATTCATGTCGTATTATACAACTGTAAATATATTTTATTAAACAATGTTTGTTTCGATGGAAAGGTGTATTTACAGTATTTAACTTGCCTGCAAGAATGAAAAATTCCTTTATAGATTACATGATTATTTGATTGTGCTACTAATCTGGTTCTTAATGTATCGAAAGGAAATGATACAGTTGTAGCTATAAAACCAGCACCTGCACCAGCTACAAACTTTGTTGAATATTTCCATTCATTTAGTAATGAAAAATTATGAAACTCATGCATAAGCACATTATATGAATAAAACTGTAACATTTTAATATTTAATTATATATTTTGACAATAACTTCAAAATATTTTCATATTTAGATAAGGTATTCAAGATTCAAATGATCATTGTTACAAATGATACTGTTTAAAATTTGTAGATATTGTCCTATTCAGGGAAAAATATTTTCATATTTCTTAAATTTTGTTGTGTTTTAATTTATAAATTATAAACTTCAAGAATATGCAACATACAGTATCAGATGTAAGACTTAAAGCCATAATGTCTCTAATACAAATTAATAATTTTTGAGATTATTTTATATAATATTTATTTCAACTGAAAGAATTATATAATAGAACTAAAAAGCTACATGAAAGTTTCATAAAATATACATTTACCTGGCTAGTCCCATATATAACTGATAGTAATTGAGCAGGTACATGTCCTTTCCAAAAAGCTGAAATACCTTCTTCCTTAAATATTAAGTAAAATGCTTGTAGTAAAGAGTGATATTTACTAACATGATGGTTAGCAATAGGTTCAACTTGTAACTACAGTGATAAAGAATTCTTTTTAATGTCTATGTATAACATTATAAACATTATTGTTGTATTACTTGTGATATATGTTCTTTTACCTGAAATCTAATTTTCACAACATCGAAAGGTTGACAAGCAAATCGTGTTACAAAACCACTAACACCTCCTGCTATAGCATGTTCCAAATTATTACTATTATCTTTTGATGAAGTGTCCATTATTTTCTAAACTTGGTACTTAATAGACTGTAAATAGCATAATAACAACTGAAAAATTGAAAATAGGACTTTTTATACAAATAATAAAATACTTTCATAAATGGCAAGTCAGTATTTAAAAAATACTTGTATATAATATTTATTTGGAAGGATAAAATCATTTTTCTTACTATACATAACCTAAATTATTCTCATTAGAAAAATCAGGATCCACATCTGTTCACAATAATTATCATGCCCATAAAATAAATATAACCTTGAGTATATGGATAATACATAAATGACTAGATGAATACTTTTAATATAATTATAAATATAATAATATATTTAACTAAGAATTTATTGATATATATAGTTCACAATTTCCTTTCGACGTATATTTTATGATATAACTAACATTTCCTTATTTGTTATTTACACCAACTTATTTGTTATAATTATAATCAATGTCTTGTATTATTTCGGAGACTGACGAATAATCGTCAAAATTGGAGGCATAGTTTAAACTATAATAATCCTTTACCAGTGATGTTAAGTTATATCCCCAGACACTTTGAAGTACAAGTTTTATATTTCTCCTGGATGGAATGTTCAAATGACCGTTTACAGCTATTAAATCCAAATATTCATTAAAATTTTCCTGTAAAAAATATATTCCACAATATTTTTGTTTAATTTACTACATCTTTATTTAAATCCTTAAATACGTTAAAAATCAATTCAACGATCTATACTCACATAATTCTCTAATTTCCATTTATTCCATAATTCAATATACAATTTAAACAAATTTAAAATTATTACTTCATATATAGAGCAAATATTTTCAAAACTACTCTCAAGTTTTTCTAATTCCTCATTCTTTAATGCATCATCATTCATTCTCCGGAAATACCATTTCTTAAAAAATCTTTTGTTTGCATCATTTTGTATGTACAAACATTTAATATCCGTCATTATGCCAGAATTGTTAATAAGTACTTCGTGACACAGTCGAAATCCATCATCTTCTGAAGATTCGATTAAATGAATCACAAAATCAGAATAAACAAGCAGTAATCCTGTAATATGTTGTGTAATATTTTTCTTTATTGAATTATCAAATACTTGTACTATATTCTCACAATCTGTAATTTTTGCACAAAAAATAAGTCTATGCACAAACGTGTGCATTCTTGAAATATAATAAAGTACACTTACCTTGAACAAGTTGTTTGATCAATAAGCAACATGCATTACGCTAAAGCGTGATTTTTAAAATTTTTAATTTTAATTTAAGTTTAAATTTTTCTAAGTATGAAATGTAAAATCTATTTGATTTTCTAATTGTTTTTAAGTATAGAAATGAACATTTCCTTATGTCATGAATTACAACTACTACAAATATAGAAAATTTTGCAAACATGCAATCGTAGACAAAGCATTTTTGTTCTTTAACCCTTTCACTACTGCAGTGTTTTCCGTCGGAGTGACACCGCTGTACGGGCCACCGTGCCGCCGGAATAGCGGTATTGAACGGAGCACAGCGGCGGGAAGCGTTCATATGTTGCGCGGGGCTCATAATTAAGTGGTATCCCGCGGACGTCGTCTATAGACGATACTCGTCCGCACAGGTAGTCACGCGGATGCCGCCTATACATAGCGAAAGGGTTAAAGGAGAGAATATATTTAAACCACGTGTATTATTATAAACATTTTATTTTCTTTTACACCGGATTTATTTTTGTAGTTGCAAATATGATACATTAATGTGAGATATTTTTGTCTTTTGAACAGGTTAAATATATATAATAAAAAAAATTGCCGAAATGGTTATTCAAGTGCTATAGTATTTTTGTAAGAATTGTTGAATCAATGGAAAATGTTTTCATAATGCATAACTTTACTACAAAATCGATTTATCGAGCAGATTTCTTTTGGCGAATTAATACTATGATATTGACACAGAGTATACATATGCAACTAAACAAAGTGTAGTTTTACAGTTAATATTCAGTATGTTCTCCCACATAATTTCACAGACACCAACAAATAAATGATTTTCACTGTATGACCAAGTATCAAATTGGCCACATTGAAGGAGTGGAATGAATACTGATTACATTTACTACGTACTTATATCTTACTGAGCTCCAACTTCTAAGACGCGTAAATAATTATAAATTAAGTTTTTCCTTACTAAAAAAATTTTAACAACAATTATGGATATTAGCAACCAATTGTCAATAAAGGGAGGAAAACTTTTTAGATCAAACTTAATTTTTTGAAATTGTCAATCATTTCCTATTAACTATTTCTTTTCGTACTTTTTACTGCGTATTTTTCGCTTTGCGTGCCTCAATGAATGAGAAAGTAGAAATGTAATGCAAAATATTATTATAATGGAAATTTGACAAAGGTATTGTATGTAGTTTACTAAGTTTTACACTATCGCTAACTACAACAATAAGATTATAAATAGAAATTTAAAAAATTAACCGAGCACGGAACTAACGTAAAGCAATAGGGCCTTAAAGGAGAACTTTTACTAATCACAGAGGAACAAATTGTAATAAGTTTCAGATCTCCAGCAGGTTACTTGTTCAGAAAGTTTGTGATTGGAAGTTGAATTAAACCAACTACGCGTCAAAGTAACTTAGATTATCGAATCGTTTATGTGTTTTAGGGAAAGCAGTTTCTCTTCTGCGATAATTTCCATAGCCCCAACGATCTGCAAAATTACACATAGAACATTTAAGCAAATTAAACAAAATCATTATATGATATGAATTTAGTTTCATAGTTTTCATAAATACTTCGTGCAGGATCATTTCCAGTTCTGTCTGCAAGTTCCATAAGTTTTGGATTGATAACTTGTTTAGCTTCCTTAAGTACATTAATTAAACCTTTAGCCTGTCGGCTATTTTGTGGTGTAAAGAAGGCATAACTCGTGCCTGAATTATTTGATCGGCCCGTCCTACCAATTCTATGAATGTAGTCTTCAGATGAAGTCGGATAATCGAAGTTGATCACGTACTTTACGTCGTCGACATCTAAAGTTGTTTCATTAAAATATGTACTAACATAAAAATATTGAGTGTGTTAAATATGTAAGATATGCTGTATTTAATAAAAATATTAATTTTTTGGCAATATATACTCAATATGCCAACTATAATATGAAATCCATATAGATTATATTATCATGATCTTTTCTTCTTTAAAATTTTTATATTTATTTGTTAAAGTCGAAGCTAAATGTCATAACAGAAATTAATGCGAAAAACTATTTATTTTTATCTCCATATCTTTCCATGAGAATATGCAGCTAAGCCTACACTACATCACATATCAAATACACAAATTTCAATATTAAATATTAAAACTTCATAACAGTTAATAAGTAACTTCTAAAACCTTACTTAGTAACATAAACAATAGAATATTTGTATTACCTTTCTCTATGCATATTCTGTACACAAGTATTCATAACATAGAACAAAAAGTCGAAGAACTTATAAAAAGAATCAATATTGTAGATATTTAAATAAGAAATCCGTCACAGTAGAAGGAGTGTATATCGTATTCCCTATAAATTCTTTTTCTTTAACAAATATAATGAAAATGATTTTAAGTAAGATTTACAGTAACTTCTTTTTCAAACACTGTTACAGTTTTATATTGTCTAATATTTCACATTAAGGCGCTTTCATTCCTAATTATTAAAACATTGAAGATAAATTAAGAATTGTATCAGTTACAGTACATATAAATGTATATGAATGTAAGTTAGCTGCATAGTAATTAAATACAAACCCTGTTATCGTTGATGCACGTTCCGTATGACTGCATACAGAGCGCCTCACGATGTGTGCTATTCTTAAATGCAACTTCACATCGCAACGTCGTGTCCTAAGCATCACCACCGAGTAGCGATAGTAGCAAAATCAATAGATTGTTGTCTCTCATACGGGCTGAACATTGGCTATGAAGTGTGATGGTTGTACCAAAACGTAACCAACGGTCTTACCTCACAACCAACCAGCGCCGATAACGGCACCACCCGCGCACCACTCTACTACTTGCGTGGTACACAGGCTGAACACAGAGGCACATTAAGTACAATATTATGTGCAAAACAGAATTGCGTATGTACAATGAGTGAGCCATGTTTTCTTTATTGAACGATCGTTTTTCATCGCACACTCAATACAATTTGTGCACCATGTGCCTCTGAAACAAAGGACAACCAGACTGATTAACATAAATTACAGGATGCCCACATATATTACTAAAGCACTTCTCTTATATTCCAATCTTTATACTCTCAATTCTTTAACACAAGCACATTATTTAATTCCTCTTTTCTTTTCTGCTCCTTTTTTTCTCATTTTCTCCGATATTTTTTTTTTAATAAAATAGATAGCATTACACGTCAATAAAGCTAGTAGAAAAATTAGGATGAACAAAAAACTTTGTACAGTACCTGAAGTATATAACACAATTATACGATATAAAATAAAGAAAAAATACAGCACCTCTTCTTAAATAGTAAAAATAAAAACTTACGAAAATTTAACGCTTTTCATATTAATACAAATATAATAAATATATATATATAAATTTTAAAGGAATAAATAATAAAAGTTGAAGCTATCTAATGCCATCTATTTATAGTACATTAAGCTTATGTAAAGTTTGAGAATGTACACTAAAACTATTTTTTATACTGCATTAATATTATTATATCGTTCTACAATTTCAATAATTAACTATAGAATTCTACAAAGAATAACACATTGTTGAAAAGTCCTTATTTATCAATTTTTCTTATTTCTTAATTAACATGGTAAGTTATTTAATGTTAATCATTTTTATTCCAAAAACAGTGGGGCATCACCTTCATATAACCAGTCTGTGCTACATCGCCACTTTACCCTACCCTACCCCTTTTTAATTAAGTACAAATTTTCTCAAATACAACTGATCTAAACTTCAATAAATTCTTCAAAATCTACTATGTTTTAACAAAAATAAAAAATGTTAAACAAGTAACTCTATTACTTACCCAATCCACGAGCAGCAACATCTGTTGCTACAAGAATTGAATCCTTATTTCTTCTAAATTCTAAAATTTAATATAGCATAATGTAATTATGTGAATAATGCAATGAAAATGTTATCAGCATACATATATATATATATATATATATATATATATATATATCTCAACAAACCTGTAAGAACAAAATCTCTTTCTAGTTGCGATTTGTCACCATGTATACATACTGCTGGCCACCCAGATCGACGAATAGTTTTAGTAATACTCTCCACTTTTTTTTTTGTCTCTACAAAAATTATTGTCTTCCCACCTTCTGGACTAACATTACTAATCTCCTGGAGAAGATCTTGCAATCTAAAGTAGAAGAATAAAATATTAAATTGTAAGCAACCTTTAAAAAGTAAAATATTAATATATCGAATAAAAAAGTCAGTTCTTCTTAGAGATAAAATATTATGAAAAATCACGAACTATCATATATTACTTTCATCATAAACGATAAAATAAAAAATTTTTATTTTGACATAATTTATACTATTAGTAAATCGAAATATTTAAAATACATACTTCGCTTGTTTTTCATGTTCTTCACAGACATCAACAATCTGAAGAATATTGTGATTAGCTGATAATGTTAATGATCCAATGTTCAATTGTGTATAGTCTACAAGGTATTCCTCTGCAAGATTTCTAACTTCTTTCGGCCAAGTCGCAGACCACATCAATACCTGTCTATCTGGCCTAATTTGTTCAATAATTTTTCGAATTTGAGGTTCAAAACCCATGTCAAGCATTCTATCTGCTTCATCTAATACCAAGTACGTACATCTACGTAAATTAGTTATACCTCGTTCCAAGAAGTCAATTAATCGTCCTGGTGTGGCAATGCAAATTTCAACTCCTTGTTCTAAATCGCGAGCTTGGCTTCCTTTAGGCGCACCACCAAAAATACAAGTGCTTCTTACGTAGCCAAAATTATAAGTAACTTTTTGAATTTGCTGCGCCAATTCTCTTGTTGGTGCTAGAACTAGAGCAATTGGCCCGTCACCATGGTTTAATGGTTGTTGACTGCTAATATGTACAATTGCAGGTAGGATGTATCCTAAAGTTTTCCCAGATCCAGTTTGTGCTATTCCAACCATATTTTGTCCAGACATTGCAATTGGCCATCCTTGAGCTTGAATAGCAGTTGGTTCACTAAACCCCTGCTTTCTAATACATTGCATTACATGATCAGGAAAATTTCCTTCTTCAAAATGTTGTATAGGATTAGGAATTTTCTCTCCCTTAAGAGTAATCTGATTCTCCTGTCTAAATATATCTATTTCTTGTGGATGACGTGATTGAACATTAGGATGTGGTATATAAAAATCTTTTTTAAAAGGCTTTAAATTTTCAAAACTCCAGTTTGGTTTTTTTAAGGCTCCCATAGTGCCATGCATATTATTTTTGTTGCGATTTTCAAATCGTCCATTTCTATTATTAGCATTATTTCCATATGCAGATCCCCTTTCTTTTGTTCTATAGTTTCCACCATGATAACTAGCTCCGTATGTCCTGTAAAAAATTTAGACACGTATTGTAATTAAAGCACAATATTATGTATTTCATATGGATGTAGAGAACAAAGAGAATCAGCTCCAGATAAAAAAATATGTGGATTCCGAAGGCATGTTCCCAAATTACTATTCCTCCCACAAGCATTCATGCTCCATTGATATATACAAAATGGAGGCACGCCAAAATAAGAGGTATAATTAAAATAGTTATATTTTCATTAGAAATAAATTGTGTTTGATGCTATACTTCTCTATGACTGTAAATATATATATTTGCATATATACAAACCTAATTCTCAGGGATCCAATAGCTCCCATTACATGTCGTAACCTTCAATGAACAATGTTGATTCTTATGTATATACAACTAAAAATTTATCAAAAGCATTTTTGATAAGGTACTTTCGCAGATAAATGTAAAAACATTTATTCCTGCATAAAAAATGTCCATTATGTGATATTACACGTCAATAAATTTTCGGGACGATATTATAGCGAAATGCAACGACGCATTGCGGATATCATATAATGGCCGAACATGAATGATTTTGAAGAGAGAGATAGACAGAACATCGAGATATAAATATAAATTCTACAATATAAATCTAAAATTATAATTAAAAATAATGTTGTTACTCACATATTTGATACAGCAATGGAAACTTTCAATTCCTAATTAAATTACAGTTGAAGATGATAACTTGTGTTTAATCGATTGATCAAGGTAACGAATCCTGAAATGATAATTAATTTTTATCATTGTCGGTTTACATTTAAAACATGCAAAAATATTAGAAGGGTAAATGAATTATCGATTACGATGCAACATTTACAAGTTTAAAAAAAAAGAAGTGAATTACGAACAACGGTCAAACGTCCTACTTACACCACATCCAGGAACAGAAAGAACAATTTAATATGTACCCGGATGTGACGTATGTCAGGGACAAACGTATTCGAAAGTGGGGATGCGCAAGAGCTCTGAAAACACCTCTTTTCGTCCTCTGCGCATGTAATACAAAGTCGATTTTGATTGACTTGAAGGCAACAGACAACGTTATTCAACTCAGTATATTATTTACTGCACTTACGTAATTTTCTAAATTGCAACTATATATACCTATATGTTTTTAATATTAATGTATTTAATATTATAATATCAAAAAATTTACTCTCGATTACATAATATCATGTAATAATTATAGTTTTTCATTAAAATTATTCTATATAAGATGCTATACTCTATTCAACAACAAGTCAGGAAAATAACGACAATTGGTCACGTGATCTCCAACTATTGGTTGATAGTTGCTAGTAAATTATGATCTTTGAGAACAACCTGTTTTATTACAAAATAATACATTATCAATAATTAATACAATCATACAGTAATCTGCTTATGGGATCAATATTCACAAAAGTTTCTATTCTATAATATTTCAAAATTATTAATTCATCTTTGTTTCCCAAAAATTTTAATCGTCTGGTTTTATTTAGTCCTCTGGACTCAACTCGTTTAGCAGAATATACATATATGATGCTAGTTTGGTAATATTATTTAACGTTGCTAGCTTTTTTTATGTTATTAGTAAAATTACTTTTTCATTTCTCTTAATATAATAATATTATTTATAGGATTAATTTACAGTAATAAGAATGTATAACATTATATTTACATCAAAATCTAAATAAGATTTCAAATATTCCGCTTTGTGTGTATCGTACACAAAAGGAAAGATAGTTCTAAGATTGAACACATGTAGCGCTAGCATTCTATTTGAGATATTCTAAAGAGATGTATTCTCTAGGTATAATTAAATACTTTGTGCAATACGTACAATCAGAATCAGGATCAGTCAGACAATCAGAAAACGTGTAGTGTGGTGTAACTAGTGTGAGTCTATCACGATCTGGTATAGACAGTTGGTTGTGGAGTGCGTGCATTTGATGGGTTACCTTTTATGGCGATTCAAGTAAAAGAAAACATTGGTCAACCTTGTGATGTTCTAATAACAAATTGAAAGAGATATTTCTGATGGAAAAGTAAGCCCTCAGAATTCCTTATCCAGTTTTTTTCGTTTTTATATTTGTGGTTTCGTTTAGGAAGAGATATCATTTTGTAAATATAAAGATGACGGCATCGTGGTGAATGAATAAGCCGTCTGTTTTAAGCCGTGAATAATGGTATTTTGAAGATATCGAATACTTTTAAAATATAAATAAAAAGAATTCTTCGAAATTTTATAAGTGAACATTTTTTATATTTGGATTATGTACAAAATGTTACTGAAGTTAAGAATAAAAGCATGGGAGAACTTTTATAATCAAATCTCAATTTTCTATTAAATAATTAATTATATTTTGTAAATACTTTATTTTTTCTTTAAATTTGCTTTCCTACAGGTATATATATCTAACATAACTTATATACATTTCATAAGGAAACAGTTATAAACAAACTTTATCAAATAAATAAATTTTTAAATATTTTGATATCAAAATTGATTATTTTAATTATTATTTGGTTCAAACTTATAGCCATAATGTTAAAATAAAATGATAAGGTAACATGAGTTATTTATGGGTAACTTGCCAAATAAATTTTATGATGTATTTATAAATGAAGCACAGTTTGTCCCACTTTTAAATAAGTAACTAACACCATTAAAAGTTTTTAATATATTTTTATCCATAGAAAGTGAATCCATATTTCATACTTATTCTTAGAGAATAAAAATGGGAACTAAGAATGTATATTTTAAGAATATGATGAGTCAACAATTACAAGAATATTACCTCATACCTACCTTATTCTTGGTGGAAATGATTGTACAAAGTCATAATTTCATTAAAATTTAATAGAAGAGTAATAGAATTGTTATTTTATTTCAGAAATGTATCTTATCTATGATTTATAAACTAAATTAAAAAGTATATTTATATGTAATCTATTAACTGCATTAATCTAAAAAGATTTGTATTTTATATGCAGAATGTTTGGCAGCTTCAGATGGATAATAGCAATAGCAATTGTTATATCATTAGTAAAGGCAAATTACTCACCTCCAGAGAGATTGACTGGAATGAATCCTTGTATAAGCAAACAAACATGTCATGAATGTATACAAACACCACATTGTGCCTGGTGTGCAGCACCAGTGAGTTTTTTTGTTAAAATATAATTACATGTATATTAATAATATAATAATAATAATATTCATATATAGTATATTTTATGTAAATAATTAAAATATATTAATCTTTACAGAAATTTTCAGAAAAGCGGTGTTTTCTACCAAATATTAATACTAAAATATTTGCAACATGTCCTGGCGAATATACATGGAATCCAGACAATGTTTTTAGTATGATAAGACATAGAAATTTAACAAAAGGTGGTTATGCATATGGTGGTGCCAACAGTTATGAATATTCATATATGAATTCTAGCACACATGGCTCTAGTTCACAGTCCACTAGTAGTGGTAGTAGCAGCAGCAGCAGTAGCAGTGGTAGCAGAAGACAAGAAGCTGTACAAATTTGGCCACAAGAAGTTAATTTGAAACTTCGAATAAGTAAGTTACTGTAGTTATTATATATTAAACTATTTTGGCAGAAAACAATATTTACAATATTAGATATACGATATAAATCTTCTAGATGAGGCACATAGAATGACTTTTGCTTATTCACAAGCTGAAGATTATCCTGTTGATTTGTACTATCTTATGGATTTGAGTAAATCTATGGAAGATGACAAGAAAAAATTATCAGATTTAGGTCAACTCTTAGTAGAAAGTATGAGTAAAATTACAAGTAACTTTCGATTAGGTTTTGGCAGTTTTGTTGATAAAGTTGTAATGCCTTATGTTAGTACAATGCCTAAGTCGTAAGTTTCCCATAAAAAATTATAATCTTTCTGCATGCATAATTTGAAATTACTATTTTACATTTCATTTAATGATAAATTTATAGTCAGTTTTGTATTTTAGATTAATAGAACCATGTGATGGATGTGCAGCACCATATGGCTACAAAAATATTATGACATTGTCTCAAGATACAAGTCATTTTGCAGTAAGTATATAATAATATAATTTTGCAATGAATATTCCATAAAAATTATCAACTTTTCTTATCTGTGTAGAGTTTAGTGCGAAATGCTTCAGTATCTGGAAACTTAGATGCGCCAGAAGGAGGATTTGATGCAATAATGCAAGCTATAGTTTGTAGGCAGCAGATTGGCTGGCGTGAAAAGGCTCGTAGACTTTTAGTATTTTCTACAGATGCTGGTTTTCATTATGCAGGCGATGGTAAATTGGGTGGAATTGTCAAACCAAATGATGGTGAATGTCACTTAGATAGTACAGGACTTTACACGCATTCATCATTACAAGACTATCCAAGTATTTCTCAAATTAATTTAAAAGTTAAGCAAAATGCTATTAATGTTATATGGGCTGTTACGGAAGAACAAATAAATGTATATAAAAGACTGACTAAACATGTAGAAGGATCTTTTGCTGGTAAATTATCAGATGACTCGAGTAATGTTGTAGAATTAATTCGTGAACAGTATGATGCAATTTCAAGTTCAGTTGAAATGAAAGATACAGCTAGCAGTGCTGTGAAGGTAAAATACTTTTCAAAGTGTTTGGGTACGGGTCCGCTTATTGAAACTTCAAAATGTGACGGATTAAAAGTTGGAACAAAAGTGGAATTTACTGCAGAAATCGAAGTCACGAGTTGCCCAGAAAATAGGTCTGAATGGAAACAAAAATTCGATATTTATCCAGTAAGAATAAAAGCATTCGCATTTGTCTACATAATTTAATATTTACAGTTAAACAAACAAATTTTCTTATCTTTTTTTAGGTTGGAATTAATGAAACGCTTACTGTAAATTTGGAAATGTTATGTGACTGTGAATGTGAACGCGAAGGTGCTATGTATGAACCGAAATCACCAGAATGTAATGGTGTAGGAACTTTAAAATGTGGCATTTGTGAATGTTATGATGGATTTTTTGGAAAACGCTGTGAATGCAGTCCTCATCAAGAAATGACAGGATTAGATAAACATTTCCAATCTTGTAGACCTGATAATACTTCTCTTGTAGATTGTTCAGGGAGAGGAACTTGTGCTTGTGGTCAATGTGAATGTGAAGAAAGAGAAAATCCTGAAGAAGTAAATATAGATATATGATTTTAATATAAAAATTTACATCTTTTTTGATTGAGTATATGATGTTGTTTTTTTTTACAGATAATATCAGGTCATTTTTGTGAATGTGACAATTTCTCATGTGATCGAGATCAAGGTCATTTGTGCTCAAATCATGGAACATGCGAGTGTGGCCAATGTGTCTGTAATGCAGGATGGACTGGTCCATCTTGCAATTGTAGATCTTCAAATGAGACTTGTATTGCACCAGGAACTACCAATGGAGTGTTATGTTCAGGACATGTAAGATTTTTATTGCTTTGTGAAGAAAAAGCTTTATTTTGTTTTACAAGTTTAACTTCGATTAATCTTTTATCATGTAGGGAGATTGTGTTTGTGGTGAATGTATTTGTCATGAAGAAGGAAATACTAGATATTCTGGTAAACACTGTAATAAGTGTCCAACCTGTCCAAGCCGTTGTGAAGAATTAAAAAATTGTGTATTATGTCAAATGTATGGTACTGGTAATTTCACTGATAAAGAGGAATGTGCAAAAAATTGCAAAGAATTCGTCCCTGAACCAGTTGATACAGTTATACCAGATGTGGATAAGGATGAAGTTCCATGCTTCGGTATAGATGAAGACGACTGCAAATATAATTTTGTTTATTATTACAATGAAACGAATTGTCTAAAAGTCAGAGCTCAGAAGGAAAGGGAATGTCCACCCCAAGTTTACATGCTCGGTATAGTATTAGGTGTAATTGCAGCTATTGTTTTAATCGGTCTTGCATTATTACTTTTGTGGAAACTATTAACAACTATACACGACAGAAGAGAATTTGCAAGATTTGAAAAGGAAAGAATGATGGCTAAATGGGACACGGTAAAAATATTAATTTATCTTTAATTTTGTATATTTTGTATGCTACAAAACCTTTCATTTAAATTATCTTTAAACAGGGTGAAAATCCAATTTATAAACAAGCAACTTCAACATTTAAAAATCCAACATATGCTGGAAAATGAAAATCATGAAAATAATCTCTATTTAATGGAAGAAATTATTTCATTGCAGAAAATTGTGTTTTTATACATAAATATAAATTTTTGATTGATTAATATTTAAATGATAAACAAATTTTATTATGCAGCGAATGAAGCTTTAGCACTAATTAAAATAATTATTAACATTATAATTGATAAGTATTTAATGGAATTTAATGTAATATGAAGTTATCAAATTATTCATTAAGTATGATATTATAATACTGCCATATAACGTAGACTGCTATGTATGAATGCGTGCGTATGTATGTAAGTGTAAATTATGTACACAATGTATACAATGAAAAATTATAACGTAGAAATCGGTATCTGCATGAAAATACGAAACAGTTAAAAGATTTAAAATGTTAATCTTATTGTAACACTTATATAGAAGTGCCTTTTTGTCTTTTATGACAAAAATATATTTATATAATTTCCAATTGTCGACTTTAATATAAAATTTATGAGATGTAATTCTTTCAGAAGACTTCATTCACTCTTACCAAATTAAAGTAGAGTGTGATGAATTTTTCTTTTAAATATATTTATTGACATTTTTCATACACCCACAATATTTCAAATAGAAAATATAAATAAGGTACATTTTAATATGTGATATTGTAAGATCTAAAATGTTTTTATTGACAAAATGTTCACTTGTTTTTCACCTAAGTCTTCCTGAGTCTCATATATGTTTTATTTTTTATAAAAAGATCTAAAAATATATGTAGAAAATTGTATAAATGTAAAGAATAGCAAAATGCATAGTAATAAGTATAAATCATTTTGCAATTTATAACAAAAGCGAATCTCGAGATTTTTTATTCTAAACGTTTATGAATTTTTTTCCTTTATTGTGTCTATAGATAGATATGCAGTTAACGAAATGCTCGTTGAAGCAACATAAATCGACATTTTAAATGTACCGAAAAACTAATGCTTTTATAATACATTGTATTAATAACTTTTACACTACTTTATTGTTATTTATATGTTCGCGTTCGGAACAAAGAAATAAACTTAGTATAACAATAACTAAATTTTCCAAACAAATATTTCAGATGTATGCAAATAGTATTATTACGAAATAATTTTTTCGTGATAAAAATGATGTATTTGATAAATCATACACTTGAAATGAAAGTTTTACTGTCATTGATAATGATAAAAAGATCAGCTTATCTTACATTTTCATTGTAAGATAAACAAATATAGTAGAACCTAGTTTATGCAAACAAGTTAATGCTGAGCATCTTTTATCTGAACTAGGATCAATCGTAATTTTGTAATACGTGTAAACACTCTTATAATGAGTATGTATATTAATACATACAATTATTTGTTTTTATTCGAAATAAATTCTGCGTTAAAGAAGGAAAAGTTGAAATCGTAACACTTAAATCCTAATATTTGAACTAATAAGAAGAGTTCGAAAGGATAGCTATCTACTGAATTTCTATTATCAGAATTAGTCGGTTATCCGAACTGTCTTGTCCTTATCCTCCAACCTGTTCGGATAATCGAGGCTCAACTGTACAATATTGTGTTTTTATGTGTTAATAATATATTTTCATGTGTTCATTTGTACATTTACAGCCTGGTTTTCGCAAATAAGCTACGTGTACGTATATGATCTGCTCCAACATTAGGGTAATGTATTGTTCGTAAGAAGAAAGTACTATAGAAAGTGAAATAGAATTTCATATTTATATATAGTAATAATAATGATATTACAAATACAAGTTTTGTTTATAGATAATTGCGTATGTAATATACAAAGTTTTCGTTAAATTCTGTTCTAATTTTTTTTATTTCTTTCAAATTACTATATTTGCAAAAATTAAAAAGTAGTTACATTTTTAATCAAAATATGATACTCGTGCACAGTAACAATTTGTTAGAAATTTGCTTATAATATACAGATAGCAATTTGCGCGTAAAGTTGGCGTCGCGACAAGAACGTAGTACAATATTATGTTGTAGTTGCAATTTTATGATAAACTACGTAATTTTATAGGATACGTTATATTTTAACATAAATTGTATTCAAATATGTACAAATTATCATTGGTAAAATATCTGTAATATAATACCTGGTAACACATAATCAAATTATCTTGTGTGATTATGTAAATACATAAAAATAATACAAAGATAAGTGCAGAATAGAGGTCACGACGGAAATAAAATGTATCTTTAATTACGTAATTTGTAATTATTATTTACTATAAATTACAATTACTTATTTTGGAATAGGGAAATTATATTCTATATTATTTGAATTATTTATAATATAATTAATATTGTATATTGGAGTAATTATTATATTAGTTCAATTCATCGTATAAAAATTTTAGCGCATGAGTAAAAGAATGTATTCTTTATTTCATTTAATTATCATCTTTCATTAATTTTTGATAGCAATAATATGATAGACTTTCTAATACCAACAAATTATATAATGAAAATTATCCGTGATTTTGTAACGGAATCGAATAGTTGTCGAATGAAAAAAAGAGAATTATGTGTAGAATGTCCTTAACCTGTTAATATCAGAATTTTAAATATATTTAACTACGACAGCGGAAAATTTTAGGGAAGTTTCTAGTGACTAGTTTTGAAAAAATTTATTAAAGGACGATACATACTTAATAATTATAAATTATTGGTAACTATCACAAGTAAATCACGTATAAACAATAATCTATATACTTTTACTTACCCTCATTTACGAAAAATCGTTAATAAAATCTAGTTATATGATAATGGCATTGAACAACTAGACTAAACATTTTGTTTAACAAAATCTAACTTATATATCATCAAATTTCAGAAGATAGGATACCAGATCATTTATTACGTTACTATGATATAGTAAAAGTGAAAACTTGAGAGAGTCTGACCTAGCGTAATTTAAAGTGGAATGAAATTATTAGGAAATGATAGTAGAGCAAAGATTTTATTAATCAGACAGAATTCTAGTATACAGGGTGGTTGGTAACTGGTGGTACAAGCGGAAAGGGGGTGATTCTACGCGAAAAAAGAAGTCGAAAATATAGAATAAAAATTTTTCGTTTGAGACTTCGTTTTCGAGAAAATCGACTTTGAATTTTCGCTCGGTACATGTGCACTTTATCACGTCTCGTTATAACGGATCTCACTGTAGATCGTTGTCTCGATGGAAAAATTAAAAAAAAAAAAAATTTTTTTTTCTTAATTTTTTTTAAGAAAAAATATTTTTATTCTATATTTTCGACTACTTTTTTCGCGTAGAATTACCCCCTTTCCGCTTGTACCACCAGTTACCAACCACCCTGTATATAAACTACCCTGTATAAAGTAAAACATTTTCACTTAACTAACCAATCTATTAATTAATTTATTTTTTACTTGTAAATTCATTGAATAATTTTATAAAAAGAAAAAGAAAGAAAAAAGGTTAAATTGCCATTTTAAAAGAATATTAGTACATACAATATCATACGCTTATGTACATACATATATATACAGATATATCGTTTAAATATTAAACGTAATTTTACATTATAAATATATTAAGTGTTAAAATTGCTAGATAAGTATAACGTGAATTTATATAGAACAACAATGAAATTAAATTTACTTTAAAAAATATATAAGTTTATAGAAATTTTGTATAATCTTTATAGAAATGATAAGATAAAAACTTTAAAGAAGTCTGACTATTGAATACAGTAGATATAAATTATAATTGAATGAATTTTGTAATTAGGATATAAAATAATATGAATCTTATTGTATATATATATATACAAGTTTCGTGATTAGATGACTTTTTAAGCTTCCGGTGTAATTCTTTCTAATCTTCCTAATTATAAAATGTATCATTTTTTATTTCATAAATTAGATATTAACTATTCTAGCATAAATTAAGAATCAAATTTTTAATATTATATAAAATGCAGTGTTGTATCAAATATTAGCGGAATGACTAAAATTTTGAAATTCCATTGCTGCGTTTCCTACTGTTTGTACGCGGTGCAACCACATCTCGTGTCTCACAGTCACGTGTTGGAGCTAGTAGGTGAAGGTAGGGTACGTGAAATAACGCTTGAGGGCGTACGTACGTCGTATCAGTAGCACGTTACATTAACTAGCCATGAACTAGTGCTTCTAGAGAGATACGAAAAAAGACAAAACGTGTGGTTAAGAAAAAGGTACATATTCATAAAATTAACAAGAACGATTGTAAAGTACCGCGAGGGTATACACTCAGTTCTTATATATATTTCGTCTCTTTTTCATTTGTGTTTCTTTCCCTTATTTTGTTCTTTCTCTCTTTCTTTTCCCCTCTCTCTATCTGTCTCTTTCTCTCCTCCCTTTCTCTCTCTTTCTCTGACTCATTCACGTTGCACTCGTTTGTACTGTATCAGCCGTGGTCATAGTCATAGTCTTAATCCATCCTTTCGTTTATATTCATTTCTATCTTTCTCGCTTTCCGTTCTTTCTTCTCTGTCTTATCAGGTCATCTCCTTCTTTCTCAGTCTTTCTTTCTTTCTCACTCTGTTCTTCGATGCAAAGCAGAAGAAACCCCCGCGGTTGCTCGTTCGTTCTCAAAAGTCTTACTCTCGTTGTCACGCGCTAAAAATACTCCCGCACAGTCTTCCGAGGGTGTACCATGCCAAAGGAGTACAAAAATTAGGACGACAAAAGCAGTCAACGTCGACCTGGAACTGTCATGGAACTGCTTTCGAGAGTGGCATGTTATTTTCGATGGATGAGGAACGCAACACCTCATGATGCAAGTGAAGCGGAGGACGAACATAAAACTATCGAGGATGAACGGTATCGGAATGTCGGGTGCAATTTCGAAGCCTCTAGGCGACTTTGTAGCATTTTGGAGAGTATCCTTCTGTGGGAGAATTCTGTGAACAGTATCTCCGTCCTCATCATATTCAATATACTGTTTTGGTAAGTCCGTATAGCATTGTAATATCATATGCGTCACTACTAAGATATGATGTTATGCGTGATTTCGCGAAATTTGATTACTACTGTACCGATACACGCTTTTTCATTGTAAAGTTAAATTTTCATTTCAGCTAGATTACAAAATAAAGAACCTTGTAACATTTAACACAATGCCGAAGAATCAGTATATATAACGCGTGTTTTTTCTCGTTATACGTAAAGCTCTGTAATGTTTTTCTTTTTCTAGTAAACAAGCTTACTATAGTGACACTTAATAAAGATTTTATGCGCATTAGTAGAAGTTATTGCGAGGCGTTCAGCTGTTTCTAAACGTCTTCGATGTAATTTGTCTTCTAGGTCAAGGTTTGTAAAAGTGTGCGCGTTTCGGCATTTAACTTGTCAGTAGTAAATAACAGTGTCACTGTTTAAGTATTCTGATACTTTATATCATTTTTTGTACATGTTTCTTCGTAATAAGCGTACAAATAACGTCAACTATATGATGTTTTCTTATGCATGTTACAAAAACAAGTTGAGATAAGCGGTCATTGATAGGTTTCCGCAGTTCCGAGTAGTACATTCTAAAATCTCTTTCTCCACGATTATATTTCTTCGTGACATTCATATTTGCTTTGTTGAATGAATTGCATGTTTTCTGCGTATTTTCCCACCGGATCTACAGCACTATTCTAGATGGCAGTAGGTGTTGACAATTAAAAAAGTAACGTATGATTGAAAATCGACCAGTCCATATTACATATAAATGCAATATTTATTTCGTTATTATGATTGATTATATATTTAATTATTTATACACTTTATAATGAAACTGTGAATAGAAAAAATTAGAAATAATTTCATAATTATATATTTTTGAAAATTAAAAAATATTTAATCATATATCTATACAAAAAAGTTTTAAAAGGTATTAAATTTTTATACATTTTTCAGGGGTATTATTGTATTAGAAATTCGAGGGTTTGCTGCAGCTAGCAGTGCCGCACTAGTCACTGTGCTCTGTTATAGTACCCTGGAAGCTCAAATTCAGAAGGAGAATAAAGCATTGGACACAGCTGCGTATGTGTTAAAGTTTCCAAAACATTATGCTCATATACTTATAATTATCTTATATATACAGTTAATTCAATTAAAATATATAATGTATTTATAGCTCCTATGCAAAAGCAGAACAGATTGAAAAAATAGGAAAAATAATAAAATCTGCAATTCATTGGTTGAAACAGTTAAGGAAAGAGCAACCAGGGGTGGTAATGACTTATTTATAAATATATTTTATAATATAGAAATAGTAAAATATATTTAATTAATATATATTTATTTTGACTACACTATATCTACAATATATATATAGTGTAGTATGATTACACTATAACTATAAAATTAACTCTAAATATTGAAAATGATTTCAGTTTTGTACTGCAGTATGCTCTCTTTCTTTGGGCCTATGGATTATTGGTCGTACTATAAATGGTATACTTCTTACATATACAATATGTATGAGCATTTTACTTGGACCTCCATTACTGTTGAAGTTACCTAGCAAAATGGTAGTACAAAAAGGTGATTAATATAATGTCAAATATAAAAAATTTTATTTTTATTAATAGCAAGAGCTAATAATGAGTATAATGTTAATTCTGTATATGATAATTCTAAATGTTATTATTTTCATTTTATTATAGAGTGGGATAGTGAAATTGAAGAATTTTTACCAGCAGTAACTGAAGACAATCTTCAAGTTCTTACAAGAGCTGGAGAATCAGGGGATCAATCTCCAACACCGACAAGTGTATTGTCTGATGCTCAAAATGGTAATTATTCAATACTACTAATTATTCAATACTACTATTGTTAAATATTATTTATTTAAAGAGCTATTTCATACCTATTTAATAAATACCTGTTTTTATCAAATCTTATTAAAAAGAATTTTTTGATTATAGAGTTTCTTATTGATGAAGATCTTCTGGGTCTTAAGATACCATCACATGAAGATGGAAGTACTGATGGTGTAGAAGTTTCTGAATTAGACCTTAGTGCTGAAGAAACTGATGTGGATGGTATTAAATTTCAAAGTGGCCATTTTGAGAAAGGATCATCTTCTGAAGAAGAAGCAGAACTTGAACCAATATCAAGTAAACTAGTTATTCATAGTGATGAAAGTGGTAGCGAATTTGAAATAATTGATGGTCAAGATATTGATAATTTAGACGTTGCATGAAAATAACTGATACATGAACTGTGAAGTTATTATGCAGAATAGGATTAAGTTGAGAGGTGACTTTGGATAACGATTAAGTAAAATAATTATTTTATTATAATTTTAGCCATTTGCTTATTTACAAATATTTGTGCAAATCTAACATAACACAGTTTTGGATAAGCTAAAAGGATATTATTTTTGTTACTACAGAAATGATACAAATTACTTCTTTAAATTTATAAAAACTAAAAAATTTATCAGTAAAATTTAGATATTCTTCTTATGTCGTGCAAATGATAACTTCTCAGTAGTTACATTGATGTATACTTATACTAAAGCATATTCATGAAATTGTACATATTATGTGCAACAGAGAGAATTATCTTAATTTTTATTTTTGAAGATATGCGATTTTTGATGTATATATATAAGAGATCAATTATCAAAAAACTTTGAGGGAAAGAGATAGAGATGAGCAAATAACGATTGTCAATTTCAATGTCGCTTTGACCTTCATGGCCAAAAATGGTTTTGTATATATGTATCACACACAGAAAATAGTTACCTGCGAATTATAATTAAGAAATTATAAACTACAATGTCCATTGTGCAGCAGGTAGAAAATAGATAAATATTATCATAGTAAATATTTACTCCGTTTTTGATATTACAAAAATGACATGTAAAAATGATTTTATCTATCAGGAATCAATTTTTTCTACTGCATAAATATTGAAATATTGTTTTGTGTTTCAAATCAATTACATAATTTAATTTTCGCAAAACAGCTTTAAGTATTAAATAGAATGTAAATAATATGTATGCATCAATAATATATTTTATTCATTACAAAAATCTCACATTAAAACTCTATTTAAAACTTAAAGAATTGGTCATAAATTTATTAAAAAGAATATTTAAAATAATTTTTTAACAAACAAAGAGAATTTCCGTATAATAAGGTCTAAATTAAATTACAAAATAGCATATATTCTCTATCTTCAAATTAGTTACACATATTTTGGTATAAGGTTGCTATTAAAAATGATACCACTTATGTAGACAATTTTATTGATAGAATTGATAGGTGAAGAATTAATATCAAATTTTTAAATTTATTGTTAATTTTGCCCAAATTTTGCAAAAAGCATTTAACTGTATTTCATAAGTAATATTTTATTCATAAAGTATAAGAATGAACTTTAATGTGGACAAACAGTGAACATTAGAAATTATTAAATGATAAATCATTATTGAAAAGTTTCGTGTTTTGAGGAATATATGATTTAAAAAAAAAAACAATTTCTAAATATTGAAAGTTATTTTCCAGTCATGATAAATCTATTATGTCATACAAAGTATAAAATTATAATATTTGAAGTAATAATACAATAATAAAGCTAGAATAATATAAAACTTAATTTTATACAAATCTAAGTTATTCTTATAACTCCGGGTCAATCAAAAATAATTAGTGTAAATGATATATGTATGTGTAAATTTTACATAAATATAGAATATTTTTGAAATTTTCTTGCAAAATTTGAGAAAAATTAATTCATCTTTTTTAAAGTGTAACAATTTTTTGTTTTACCTCCACATTTTTATTTTGCATTAGAGATATCATATTTAAAGTGAATCTGTTAAATTACCTTAAATAAAAGCAGATATCTTTAATTTATTTAGATCATGTGCATTGATGCTTTGTAATTTGTGTTAATCTATTTCTAGATTGTATCCCACATCTACACTTAATGTACTTAATGTCTAATTTCTTAGAAACAAAATTTGTCTCTTTTTATTAGTACATTTGAATTTATGTATTTTTTATTTATAATAATTTACATATGTGTACATCAACTCGTGTATATATATGTATCTTTTATAAAATATACTACAATAATAAAATAATTGATAAAAAAATAAAACAGAGTACATATACTACAATATTACATTTACTTTTTTATTTACAACATATTTTTGTTATGTACACACATTATTCATGTTTTCAAATTCATTAATTTTAACATTTGATTCTATTTTATCATTTGCCTGAAAAATGTCTTCCTTGTCATTATAAATATGTAATGTATCTTTATTGTTTTCTAATGGTACAATTAATTGTGCATTCTTCCTTTCTGGTAAAACTTGTAGAAATGCTTCCTGCCATGTTTTTCCTTCACTGACTCTAAGTAAAATTTCAAACACTAAAAAGATTTGTGTATATATATACATAAATTTTATATGCTAATTAATGAATTTAGCTGTATATCAGACATACCATGATCAACAGTCAAAACTTTCCTTGCTTTCATACTTAAGAATTTATCTAGAGGTAATCTGCCATGTGTTATACCAGCTTGTATAGCTAATTTATGACAGAGACCCTAAAACATAAGTATTGTATAAGAAATTTATATGAACTCATTTTATTTTGTTTATGCTTACCTTATGACTGTTATGATCGACAAGACCACCTATAACGTACACATAATCACATTTTAACTGCGTAATAATATTTTCTGATTCACTAGTAAGATATATAATTTTTTCCTTTGGATAAACATCCAAATAAGGTTCTGCATGAAATTTTACCTATACATTATTATATATTATATACAGGTTGTTAACTTTAAATCAAACATTTAAATTATTTCCATATTAGATTAGATTCCATAAAAGTTAAGATATAAATTATCTTAATCATACTTAACAATTTTTATCTTTCTAAACTTATTATAATATCATTAAAATAACATACATCCCAATGTTCGTATCCATTGTGCTTTTGCATATCAGCTTTTGACTTCCCATTAAAACTAGTAAGAGAAAATTGCATTGGTGCAATAGCTCGTCTATTCAAAGTATAACACCTTAGTATTTGTTTAGTTAACTTTGCAATATCCTTATCAATCATTAAATCATCGAAAGACAAATCGACTGTTATCCCAATTTTACAACTGCTATCTGCCATTGTACTTTTCTTTAAAGCTTTCCTGGATGGTCCAAGATCTATATTATTTGCACGAGCGAATGCTCGTTTCTGTCTTGTTTTTTCTCGCTCACGTAATCTATGAAATTAAAATAACTTTTACCTAATAACATTATTGTCAAATGTAATTTGATATAATTTAATAAATTTTGTATCCCCTTATATAGCGAAATTATCGAATACATTGTAAAATCACATAATTCTTTAATTTATTAAAGAGAAATAAAAACCTTCGTTCAACCTTTCGTGTCAACCATTTTTCCCTTTTTTTTACTTTCTTCAGCTGATGTTTACTCAAATTTGGATGTAATTCTGATAACTTTTTATCTGTATTGAAACATGTTTTCTGTTCACAAATTTTTACATATTGTGTATCATTTCCAATGTTATTTGTACCGTTCTCATTCTCCATATTTTCACAAAAAATATGGAAATGAAACTCGCGTTCTGTTTTTGCGAAAGAATCCACTAAGAGTTGTAGTACAGTTGCCTAAAAAAAATCTCGTTTCATTCAGACGCAAACTGCACTTAAAACACACTTGAGAAATTACAATAAATCTAAACTGATACTGTATACTTCATAACAAAATCGTACGTCATCAATTATTTCTGTTTATTTACATCTAATTATTCCTTAATTCAAAAATAACTATTATTTTATTTTTATAAATTTATATTTAATATATTTATTATTCTATCAATTATAATAATATATAAATTTTTAGATAGTTTGTTATTTTTTTAGGGGATGTAAATATCGACATTCAATTCTATTTGAAAAATTAAATAAACTAATCTAAAATTTCTGGGGAAATTATAGTAGTGAAAATAACTGTTGGCAATTAGTTCGATAATCCCTAAAGAATAGAGTCACCTGGATGAAAATCTAAATCATCTTTCCGTAGTGAAAGCAGACGATTTTATATAGATCCGAAACGTGTTTGATCGGTTTTTGTGAAGTGAGAGAATGCAAGTTATTGGGGTTGACGGTCGTGTCATCGGCTATCTTTTTTGTTTTCTGATACTGCAAGCGAAACTAACGAACTCAAGAACCTCTTGGAGGCTCAGTGCTGACAAAGTCGTCAAAACAACAGACTTCGTGAGCACAGTTGAGGATGATCCTATCCTCGATATCCTGGCGAGCAGCATTAGTATCGGAAATGGACACAGTTGGAGTAGAACAGCTATTTCTGAAAAATACGAAAAGATACAACCCTATTGCCAAGATTGTAAAAGTGTTGTTTCTGGAAACCATGAACGGTAAGAAATCACAGGAGTTTGGTTCATCTTGGGTAAGAGCTATGTCATATATCTTGTTTCAGAATGTCAAATTGATACTTTTAGTACCTTTTGAAATAAACTGGATTATATGTATATATTGAACTTGTATTTTTCAAATATATAATTCAAGAATTTATAAATACCCGGAATAAATTATATTAAGATTTGATGTTTTATGATTTTTTTGTATACATAATACCTATAGTATTCTTACAATAGAATGATGCACACTTTTATAATAACATTCTATTTAGTTGAACAATATTTAAAGGTCTGAAAGGATATATTCCTCAGGGATAAAAGCTTTTGTTCCATTTTTGTATTTATTTAATGTAACTTATATCAATGTTTAGCACACATATAACAATATCAATGAGATTTTAACCAAAACATTGTAGTTGGTATTTGACATTGTTTTCTATATTACATTGCATGTTTTGCATGTTTTATATAATTATCAGTATCCAATTTATTATTATAGTGTATGTTTCACCTGTCATATTTTCAAAAAAGTACAAAACTAAATATTTAAACTGTATGAAAAAGTATGAATACATAAAATATATAAGAATCTGTAATTAGTTGATTTAAAAAAAAATTATATAAACATACTTTTATATATATAAATCTTTTTATATACTTGTATATTTTAATTATTATCATTATTCTTATATTTTAGATTTTGTTTCTAATAATTATTATAAATAACCTGATGCAATTTTCTGTTTCTTCCTGTAGTTAGTATTTGTGTGTGGCTTACTGTTCTTTCAGCGTTAAAAAAGCCCTAACTTTGGTCCCCTTGGCAGACGATTCTCGTCATACGTGTTGAAGGATACACCAAATGCTACTGAATCTTTCCCTCTATCATCTCAACTGTCAAACGAGCAAGTCATGTGCTCTTCTGGTCAACAATGTGAGGATATAATTCTAGACTGTGGAAAGCCTGTCAATTTCACTTATTATGACAACTTGCTTGGTGTTGCAAATAGAGATAAGCATCCACTGGTTCCAGAACCTAATGTAGCACTCATGTTTAAGAAGAATGGTGGCAAGACTATGGATGTTGACATTGATCTGTTAGAGAAACGCTTAATGAAAGCAAAAAGAGAGGTACGATTATTACAGAATACTTTGTTTATAAATAAACAAATAGGGAGACCTAGTGCAAAGCTGTATATATATATATATATATACTTTATTCAATTTGTTGTAGAAACCAAAATCTGTCCAACTTTACAATCAAATAGGAAATTTTTGGCGTATAAAAGGTGATGCACAAAGATCAATTGAATGCTTTCGAAGAGCACTTGCTGTATCACCACATAATGCAGAAGTTTTGTTAAATTTAGCTCGAGTATTATTAGTTCAACAATATTTGGATGATGCAACATATTTAGCAAGACGTTCTTTGGAATTACAACCTCCAGATCGTAATGCTTGGGAACAATATCTTACGCTTGGTCAAATATTTAAGGTAATTGAAAGTTGTAGAAATATAATCTGTTTCATATAATCACAGTGCATTTAAATATATATTCTATTTGATTATTATTTATAATACAATATTATTTAAATTTGTTTTGAAATATTATCAAGACATAATTTATCACTACAATGTTTATTATTTTGTTTGTAGGCATATGGTCATTATCAAGAAGCAGCTGTACATTTACGACATGCTTTAGAATTAAAACCAGACCTCTCTGAAGCAGCAGAAGCTTTAAGAGAGGTAGAATCAATTCCGGCTGCAAGCATACATATCTATACATTACTGATAATAATATGTCTGGTATGTAAGATAAAAAATATATCATTGTATTGCTTCATTAGTGCATTTTACGTTAAAAAAATATAAATAATTGTTATTCATAATATATTGAAGGAACTTTCAATACATTTATGTTGCAGGTACTTGGAGTACTGTTAGTAGTTTTAAGCAGTGTAGAGTGTGATGAAGATTCTAGTCTAGTTAATGGACAATTTCAACGTCCAGTTCAACGTCACTTTAGTCGTGCTATGGCTATGCGCAGTTTACGACTTAATGTTTCTCGTAATAAACGTTGTTGATTATTAAAAAAAAAATGAATAACCTTGTGATAGAAGAAAATTTCAGCTACTATTATCATTTATCTAACTATGAAGTATTATTTGTAATATGATTTTTAATAATTATTTAATATATTAATAATTATGCAATTTATTATAATTATAAATGAAAATATACAATAAAAAGCAACACCATTTTTCATTTACTACAAAAAGAAAAATAGCGTTAATGACTACATATTCGAGTGCAAACTTTTTAAAGTGTGTAACTATATACACACATATGCGCACGTGATTTAATATTAAAATATTTTCATGACTAAGAATGGAATGTCATTTACGGAATTATAAAATATTTTTGTTGTTACGTTAAATATTAACATAGGTATTATTAACAATATTACTTAGCATCATTTACAATATACAGTAATATTAGAATATATAAGTAATCATTTTATGTACCTACTCACAAGTTCTAACGAACTTCTTTTTTATCTGTGAATAATTTACAAATATAATTTAATATCATCTTTAAATAATAATTTTTAATATATACATGAAATAATGAAGTTCTTTTACTTCTGCAAATAAAAATATCTAATAAATTTATTTTTTATTATTCCGAATATATATTAACTTCTCGTTCATTTAGTATAATATTTTCTGAGTTTTATACAACAATATTTTTAGATGTAAAACAATAATTTTCTCTTTTATTCTAAAATAATTCACTTTAGTATATAATTTCTTCAGATTGTTTCTAAATTTATATTTGGCCAACAAAAATACTCAAACAAAATTTATATCAATAGCATCAATATGAGATAAAATTTTAGTGTCATTTTTAAAAATAAAAATATGTAATATAAAGATCTTACATATTTCATAATACAACTACGTGATAGCACAATAATGTGAAATATCATTTTGTAGATTATTAGTGAAAAAAAATCGAAATATAATCTAGAAAATTAGGCCGTACATTTGCACAATTCCTGCTTTATGTACAAATACCGTAAATTAATATTAATTAAAACTATATACTATAATTTAATTCATATTCCTTTAAGGGTTTTCACAAAGAATGTATCCATGCAATAGACAATACCAGAAATAGTTTCAGTGTATTTTGTATTTAATACTGTACTACTGATAAACGTCTTTGTTATTAGCAAAATTTTATATTTGATATCATAAACGTATTCTTATTATTCTTTAATCACTTAATACATTGCTTATAGTTCAAACTACCTCCCTTTTCAATTTGTACAAGACAATAAACTTATTTGTTAACTATTTATATAAAAAATATGAGTATTTCACACACTTTATATAATTTGTTTAAATCAGAGATATAATATGTACATCTTCTAACATTTGTGAAGAAGAAAAGAAGAGAAATTAAATATCCGTGTGAACTTTTTAGTCTATCTTAATGTTTTATAAAAACATACTAATTTCAGTAAATAAGTTCCATTGAAGAATTTTAGTTAATTCTTAAACAGAATATTTCATTAATTCAAGTGAAACTCCTTTTGATATAATTCATTTTGTAATTGAATCAAAATATAAATTTAAAAAATATGTAAATACTATATCATAATATAGTAAAATATATGTAGTTGATTTACTATTCACCATGTACATAGAAACATCTTTGTCAATAATTACCCTTAAAAGATATCTATATGCAACATACATGCATATTAATATACATGTGCACACAGTGAATATACAAATTACAATATGCATATATAGTCTATGATTCTACAGCACTGCTATATTAAATTTTAATACACCTTGCAAGTTAAAATTGAACCCAACTGGCATTTCCTACTGTTGGTGGTTGTTGAGTTTGAGATTGCTGTGATGCACTTGCAAATTCTCCCCATTCAGAACTTGGTTGATTTTGATTCTGAGCAGGTTTGTGTGCAGGAGATGATGTTGGAGTTTTTGCGGGTGGTGGTGCAATTTTTACACCACCTGGTGGAGGTGGTAAACCCAAGTTTGTGTTGACACGCTGTTTTGTTTTAGCAGTAACTTCACTACCATCCTTCTTCTATATATTACAAATATAAGAACTTTGAAATTCATTACATAATTTAATATCTAAATTTTTATAACATCCAATACTATAAAAAAATCCTTACAGTGATTTTCATGTTTATTTTTATTGTTTCTCCTTCTTTAAATCTGAGGTCTAATTCTTGTTTTGGTGTATCTTTTTCCTTTTCAATTTGTTCTTGATTTCTGAGCCATTTAAAATGATCTTGAAGGGCAACATTTAAATCAAAACTATCAGATCTATCCAAAAATCCAACACCAATAAAAGCTGATCTTCCATTATCATCTTGAATTCTTAGAACAAAATAACGAGAAGAATCTGTAACTGGTTCAACTGCAATTCCTGGATATTGTTCAATTGGACATTTTGCAAATAATTCTCCAGTAACTTTATCTTCCAATTTAATAGTAATTGAGTCTCCCTGAGAGACAAGACGCATACGTCCAGTCCATGTAGGTTCTTGGAGATTCCAGTCAGCTGCTCTAAAATATAATATGTATTTAAAAATAAAATATTTATTCACTCTCATTAATCTGTCAACATCAAAATTAACATTTTTTATATTATTTTAATATAAATAAATTTACATTTAATTGAACTAAAAAAGATGCATATTTTTTATGTTATAAATATTTAGTATTTAAAAAAGAGATCTTTAACACAGACATTTTGTAACATAAAAATTTGGAATTAGATTTCCATAACTTTAAAAGTTTTACAAGTCTAAATCTTATAAAACTTTATGATATTGTATTCCAGATGTAGTACTAATATTATACTTTTAACGATTTCCGGTATAACTTTTGCTGACGTATTAAACGTCACAGCTAAAATTAATAGAAAAAACGTATTTAAAATGGCAAGAAAATATGAGATCTTTTAAATGGCAGTGAACAAAATATCATATTTAAATATATCTTTGCATACATTGTCGTTTTATAAAATGAAATATTTTTGAGGAAAATACTGTCAAAAAGAATCAATCGTACCGATAACCCCTATTCGTTGACCTTGGCGGTATTTTAAATACAAAGACTTCAGATTTCACAAGTAATACACTTTCATATGTATCCATTGTATTTTTTGACAAATCACAGAGAAAGTGCTTACGTTCGAGAGTTGAAACTTAACGAAGTGCTATTTCAAAATTCGTTTATATTTTGTGACGGATCTCTGCCGTGATTTGATAACTTTATCTCCAGTCACGCCTCCTATCCCCCACACAAAGACCGTTAACCATGGATTATTTCACTAGTGATAATAGATTCTCTTCTGCCAGTGGCACTGGTCCAATGTCAGTTTTTGCGTAGAACATATTTGTAATTTGAATTAAAATAGAGGGTCAATTTTTATATATTCATCCTTTACTTATTGAAATGTTACTCTAAGATAACATCTTGCAAGTACTAATGCCAATATTTATTACAGAAAATAAAATTTCTCATAATATGTGTAGGAAACATTATAATTATATTATTTCAAATATAAATTATTAATAGAAATATCAAAGGTATTTTTAATATCTTCCTGCTAATAATATTAGATAGTTTACTAGATAGACAATTACATAGATACACATACAATTACACTAATAAAAATTAGATAGTTTATCTATTTCTTAAAATTTGTTCTTTATACGGATGTTTTTTATAAGGATTCAATTTAAAATTTAGATTTATGAGTATAAATATACTGAAAAATTAATTTAAAAAGGTCTATTCATATCATTTGTTCATATCATTTGATAAATGACTATGTTCACTGGTACATATTTACGTTTATTATAAGACCAACTATTTATATTCATAAAATGCGCGGGATTATTTGACAAATTCTATTAATATGTTCTTAATTTTATTCGAGACAACCAACATTTTAATCAAATGCATCGAAAAACTATAGGAATATAAGAATTCATTCCTAATTTCCACGTTTGATGGGAGCTCTTTTAGGTTTAGATGAATCAAACCGGTTAATGGATACGGACATAAGTTTGGAGTTTATATTTTATAAAAATGAATTTGCGGGAAAATGATAGACACCTAGCGGTGAGAGTGCCAAACAATCAGTGAGACACACATATCCCGGAACGTGAAAATAGCAAATCAACTTAAATACATGATCCATGCATAATCCAACGTAAATACGTTTAAATACATTTTTATATAAATATCTTCATTAATTTATATATCATAATATAATTTATATAATATGTTTACTTCAATTCAAAAATTGTAAGTTATATTATTTAAATATTAAATATATATGCTTCTAGTAAAAAAATATATATGTAAGATATTTACAGTATATTATAATGTATTGTTTGTTTAGTCCTGAACATTATCCATCCGAAAGCTATAGTTCTCCAAGTACATCACAACCACAATATCAGGAACAGACAAATTTTGAGAACCAATCCCAATTTGAACAACCTATGACACCAGCAACTCCAACTAATATGAGAATTACAAGGAATACACGTGCAAGATTACGTGGTATGACTCAAAATGATATTTCTTTGTTATCTATTTCTAAATAATGATTCTTCTGCAGGAGGACCTATACAGCAACCAAAGTATAAAGAGATAGATACGGATTACATTCCAACTACTAGTGGTAGAGGAAGAGGAGGTAGTGGACGTGGAAGAGGGAAGCGAACACATCATTCACATAGTTTGGAAGATGAAGCTAGTCTCTATTATGTCATTAGAAACAATCGGTCTTCATTAACTGTATGTTGACTGTCATGTTCAAAGAAAAGTTTGTTAAAAGTATTTGAATTATAATAAATAATAAATTCGTGGATAGATATTTTTATGTATATATATATATATATATATATATATATATATATATATATATATATATATATATATATATATATATATATATATATATATATATATATATATATATATATATATATATATATATATATATATATATATATATATATATATATATATATATATATATATATATATATATATATATATATATATATATATATATATATATATATATATATATATATATATATATATATATATATATATATATATATATATATATATATATATATATATATATATATATATATATATATATATATATATATATATATATATATATATATATATATATATATATATATATATATATATATATATATATATATATATATATATATATATATATATATATATATATATATATATATATATATATATATATATATATATATATATATATATATATATATATATATATATATATATATATATATATATATATATATATATATATATATATATATATATATATATATATATATTATATATATATTTATATATACATATATACACGTATACCTTTTTTGTAGACTATTGTTGATGATTGGATAGAAAAATACAAAAGTAATAGAGAAAATGCTCTTCTTATGTTAATGCAATTTTTTATTAATGCAAGTGGATGTAAAGGACGTATTACTTCTGAGATGCAAGCAACAATGGAACATGTGGCAATAATTCGTAAAATGACTGAAGAATTTGATGAGGTATGTTAATATCTATTTTTTATAAATAAATAGTTTTCTCATATAATTCATAATAATTTGCAAAATAGGAAAGTGGAGAATATCCATTGATAATGACTGGTCAACAGTGGAAAAAATTTCGTGCAAATTTCTGTGAATTTGTCCAAATTTTAGTTAGGCAATGTCAGTATTCAATCATTTATGATCAGTTTTTAATGGATAATGTAATTTCATTATTAACTGGTCTTTCTGATTCACAAGTAAGAGCTTTTAGGCATACTGCTACTCTTGCTGGTAAGATATATTTTTATACATGTTCATACTTATATAGCTACATTTATATTTAAATATAAAAGAAATTATATTTATATTAATCAATTAACTAAATTAATAATATGTTGTGCTATTCTTCATAGCTATGAAACTCATGACAGCATTAGTAGATGTAGCTCTAACTGTATCAATAAATTTGGATAATACACAACGACAGTATGAAGCTGAAAGGCAGAAAGCTAGAGAAAAGAGAGCTGCAGATAGATTAGAATCATTAATGGCCAAACGAAAAGAACTTGAAGAAAATATGGATGAGATAAAAAATATGCTTACATATATGTTCAAATCTGTATTTGTACATCGCTATAGAGATACTTTGCCAGAAATTCGCGCCATTTGTATGGCAGAAATAGGAGTATGGATGAAAAAATTTCATCAAAATTTTTTAGATGATTCTTATTTAAAATACATAGGTAATATATATTAACGTATAACATTAATATGATGGACTTATATTCATTTTATAATATAAGTAAATTTGTTATAATTTTCTAGGTTGGACATTGCATGATAAAGTTGGTGAAGTTCGATTAAAATGTCTCCAAGCATTGCAACCATTATATGCATCAGAAGAATTAAAAACTAAACTTGAACTTTTTACAAGTAAATTTAAAGATAGAATTGTTGCAATGACATTAGATAAAGAGTATGATGTAGCAGTACAAGCTGTTAAACTTGTCATTTCTATTTTAAAACATCATAGAGAAATTCTTACTGATAAAGATTGTGAACATGTATATGAACTTGTCTATTCCTCCCATCGTGCTGTTGCACAAGCAGCCGGTGAATTCTTAAATGAACGTCTATTTCGCCCCGATGATGAAGCAGTAGCTGGCGTTAAAACTAAACGTGGAAAGAAGCGTTTACCGAATACTCCACTTATTCGAGATCTCGTATTATTTTTTATTGAATCCGAACTTCATGAACATGGAGCATATTTAGTAGATTCTTTAATTGAAACGAATCAAATGATGAAAGATTGGGAATGTATGACAGATTTACTATTAGAAGAGGCTGGACCTGAAGAAGAAGCTTTAGATAACCAGAAAGAGACATCTTTGATTGAATTAATGGTTTGTTGTATAAAACAAGCTGCTACAGGTAAGTTTTTGTGTTCTTGTATTTTTATGGAATTGTATGACAAATATAAACCTCCTGTAATTTTCAAAATAGGTGAAGCTCCAGTTGGTCGGGGACCAACTAGAAAAATTTTATCAGCAAAAGAAATGAAACAAGTTCATGATGATAAACAACGGTTAACGGAACATTTTATACAAACACTACCGCTTTTGCTTGATAAATACAGGGCAGATCCGGAAAAACTCGCAAATTTACTTGCTATTCCTCAATATTTTGATTTGGATATCTATACAAAATCTCGACAAGAGCAAAATTTGGATTCGTTGTTGAATAAAATTCATACAATTGTGGAAAAAATGCATGACACCGAAGTTCTAGATACGGCTGCAAAAACATTAGAACATATGTGTATAGAAGGACATGCTATTTTTACCAGGTAAAATTTTATGGCGGTATATATTGAAGTTTTTATGAGAGAATACTTATTACTTGATGTTTCAATTCAGGTGTGATGTAGCACGCTCAACGTTAATCGATTCCATTGTAAATAAATATAAAGAAGCTATTGATGAATATAGAAATTTAATAGAAGGGAATGAAGATCCAGATGAAGATGAAATTTTCAATGTTGTACAATCTTTAAAAAAAGTTTCCATATTTTACTCTTGTCACAATATGAATCCGTGGGGAATATGGGATTCTTTATATAAGGACATTGAAGATGCCAAAGATCCATCTAAGTAGTACCATTACATATTTTGTATTATATATTTGCTGGGAATTTTATTCATATATGTATATAAATATCTTATTACAGATGTTTACCACATGAGGCAGTTAAGTATTGCATAAGTGCATGCTTTTTTGCTATTTTATGGGGACAAAATCATCTTATGGAAGCTGCAGATTCTGGAAATCAAGGTGAAGATGAATGTCGGCAATTAAAAGAGCGTTTGCATTCTTTTATGGGTTCAATGCGTTATTTTGTTAGTGGTGATGTAAACGCCACGGTAATTACTTTATTCATATTTTTTACTATTTTTAATATGTCGATTGTATGTATTTGTCAATGTTGTTTCAGCCTACTCCACCTATTTTAAGAGAAGAAGCATATAATACAATATGCGATTTATTAGTAGTGTTTTGTAATCAATTAACAACACATTCTAATCCTTTAATGCATCAGTTAGTATATGAACCTGATCAAGCAATGCAAAACATGCTTAATCGATTTATTCAAGAATACGTATTTTTTGAAGAGGAAGATGGTATGCTATATTAATTTACTGAATATACACATTT